CTTACGACGCTTGAAACGAATCCAGAGTTAAGCTTTATCACTAGACCTGCTTGTACATCGGCTTGAATCTTTCCATGCATATGCAATGTGAGATCAGGAAATCACAGTAGACTTTATTTTTTGTACATGTTGTATTTCGTCAAGCTTGTCCTTTGGGGTGTACCAAGACGGATTCCATATATGTAATGTTGTAGAAAACATTAATTTATAGATCATGGTCAATCTGGATGTGGTGTTTCTGATTTTGAATATGTAAGTGAAAATCTTGTTCAATATGCTATCGCAATCCTCGAACAAGATTTTCTCGTGCAGATTCAAGGACAGCAACATCACCTCTCGACTGACCATGATTGATTCTTGTTTCTTACATCGTTTTATGTTTGGAATCTGTTTTGGTAAGCCCCAAAGGACAAGTACTAAGGAGGACAATATGTACCGAAATAATAATGGTTATTACTTGTGGTTTCATGACTTCGCAAAGCTATGCATGGAAGGATTCAAGCAGATGTACAAGCATGTTGGGAATAGCCATACTTGGGAGACAAAGCTACATTAAGACTCTGGATTTGGTCACTTAAACGATGCACGAGAATCAACGCCTACAAGTTAATTAGGAAGTTGTACGAGAGTTAGCAACCCAAGGAAAGAGTCGCATAAACAGGCGCAGTGTACGTTTAATGGTTTGTGTTTGGATTTCCAGTTAATTACCGGGAAATACTATCATAGTATACGTTACTGTTTTGTAGTATTAATTTAATATAAACAGACGCAGTGTACGTGTAATGGTTTGTGTCTGAATAACCTAACAATCATTTCATAGCGACCCAAAATTTCTAAATTCCAGCTATTCTATACCTGACGTTTGAATCCTTGATACTCTTTCATCCACGACCATTCAGAACTGTTCAATTCATCGAATGTTTTTTTTGTTTTTTGCTAAAAAAAAAATTCATTCATCGTAGTTTGGAACCGTGTTATTATATGAATTCATCAATAGTAATTTTTTTCTGCTGATTTATAATCTATTCGAACATAAGCCAATTAAAAATCGTCAAAATTAACGGACACACAAGTCCATCACAACTTCGAAAGTTTAATTACTGAGAGTTTGTTTGTCCTGCTCAATGAAAAAAAAAAACAGTACTTCATAATTAGATTATTGTTGAATTCCTAACAACCTGCTTGGTTAAAAAAGTAGTTGTTGAGCCCAAAAAAAAAAGTGATAAAAGATGACTTTACACACAGATACACAACATATAATCGGTAACCCTGACACATACAACATACCATTCACATTTTACACTAATTATGGGTGTTTTTTCTTCTCTTTAGCTTTTTCCAATAATAATTAGCAGCCTCTTATTGGATTTTTCTATAGATATATACATGAGAAGAATATTAAAAGACTTTTGCATTTCCTGTTAAATGATATACAACAAAAGCGTTAGGTGGCATTTACACTTCTAATTAAGACCTTCATTTTCTTGCATCTCTGTAAACGATTCAGATCAATCAATCTCAAACCCTTAACCCAAGTTATACTTTTTGTGTTATATTTTATTTATTTGTTAAAACAAAGTTTCACCCTAGTAATTCTAAGCTTGAAACTGTGAAGCATTATTTGACAGCAATAATCTCAATTTAGTATAGTAGATAAATAATTGAAAAGATGTAGCTATTTAGAGCCCCCACACCCACAGGCCACGAAATAGGTATTGTCACAAGGTGTATGGACCAGCGAGCTCTAGCATTCGAATATTTTGCAAGCTTTAAGTATTCCTTTTTTTTGATAAAAACAATATATCAGAATATTATCCTTTCCACTTTTACATAATAATCGACACCATTAAAATTGTAAGCTGGATTTTTGTTATTCATATAAAAGTAATCAACCAAACGTACATAAAACACATATACATGTTAAGTAATCAAATCACTGATACCATGTCCTTTTCATTCTCCTTTGGCATTGGAAAACATTTAAAGCTTATTGTAAGGTCTGAGTTGATTTGTCCCAATTCAAAATTATCAGAGTTAGTTCTTACGTATAGTCAATCATCAAATCATCTGTAATCCTACAATATTTTAATACCATCCTTTTTCATATTACTATTATTTCCATATATATTATAAATAATAAAGTGACTAGATATGTATTTATATTTTATACCCATAATATTAAGACCAGAATCCGAACTACATTACTTATTTGTTCTTCAATAGACCAATTAGTAATTTTGTGCGTGTTTTATGTAGACATCACAGCAATAAATTACTTATATATATCCTCTGCATATTATTGCGTGAATTAGTTATGCACGCATTTATTTGACAAGACCTCTTGACTTAGCAATTATTAATATAGAGAATAGAATTATAGATATAAGATGTCTGAAGTCATTCGTAAGCACGGAGGCATATATGAGTTTAGTGGCATCCTTATCCATGCTTTAAGGTTGATTAATTTTTCACTGAATATCAATAAACGGTGTGATTCATGTAGAACATATTAACACGGTTATGTTCATTGTGATTAGTGTAAAATAATCGGTGCAGAAAATATTTCAACACGGTGAACGAAAATTGTTTATATCGCTGACCACTGACCAGTAAATGAGTGAAGTATAACGTCCAAACTTTAAGCTATAAAGAGTGACCGAAACATTCATATAGAGTACACAACTACATATATTGCCCATATTTTTTCCTTTTATTTACCATATATTCCTCACATTTAATTAAATTTATCTTAATCGTGCACATATATAGCAACCCCATATATGAGATTAAATACTACTGATTCATTAAAAATGGTTACAATTAAACTAAATAAAATGGATGACTCATTAATTTTCTTCTCTCCCACAAACACCCACCACTCGATCTTTCAAACTATTAATAGTTTCCTGATCCCTATTTGCAATAGGTTCACCTTCACCTATTTAATACATAAGTAGAAGCTACATTACTATCGAACAAAAAAAAGTAGAAGCTACATTACTACCGAAGAAAACTGGTGTCATCCTACAAAGGCGACCTAATTAAACCGATTAAGTATTGATCTAGAAGAATATTCAGTCAGTTAGTCGTCTATGATTACAGTCTGGTTTGATACAAAAATCCCAAAAAAGGAAACAAAATAATAACTAATTTTTTAAAAGGCAACCTAATTGAACGAGTTACGTGGCTTAAACAGTTTTATACATTGTAAGTTGTAACACATGCAATAATAAATGTTAAAAAAAAAAAACATATGCAATAATATGGCCTCTCGCCCATTTACGTTCACAATTCCAATAACATATTGTGCTGTAGATAACTTTGAATTGTTTAGAATAATATGACTATTTGGCTACCGAAAACAACAATCGAAAATTAATTTGAAAAAAAGACTGCATGGGAAACCTTTTTGTAACATAAGTATTAATGAGATGTATGAATTATTTATCTTTGTCCGTCATATGAATGACGCTTTCAAAAATATATCAGATGAATGAATTGTTTCTACTTAATTACATTATTTTTATACATTTTTGTTAATGATACATTATTATTTATATAACCTAACTAGATGTAAGTTTCTTTAAAATTAATTATGGAACACAAGTGTTTTCCTTGGACCCGACGCTGACAAGCGGGTGAGTTGTGACGTCGGTCGTTGAATATTCTTTGATAATTACATAAGAATATAAAATGGATCCCATTTTTTTTTTTGTCTATTTACGTTTGGCAGCATCATTATCCACGCACAACACAAAATCACGCAATTTCATTATTTTTCATTAACAATTAAACACAATTTCTAGATGACAAAAAAAAAATTAAACACAATTTCTTATTCAACAGTTATTATATTACGTTTAATTAAGCAGATTTGGTTCAGTTCTTTAGGTATTTTTTTGTCGCGAATTGAAGCATCTCAATTTTTCTGATACCTTTTTTGTTTTCGATATATATATAGATAATTAGATATGTCGGGTTTTTATGTAGATATATATATATATATATATAGTATATCACGGGAATTTTTTTGTTATATGATTATAAGAGTATGCATAGACATAAATGAATACCGTACTAGTAGGGAAAAAAGAATACCGTATTATAAGTATTGACACAAAACATCCATGCTTTATGATGAATTATTTGTGAAAAGTTACGAACTTATACGCGGTTTGCTTTAGAATGTTTCACTTTTTGTTGGTCAATAAATAAAGGGATGCATTTTAACCAAAAAATAAAACAAATGAATTTCACTTGAACTTTGCACTTCCAGGCATACAGATCAACCATATTATATACAAATAAATAATTATATTCGCAAAAAAAACATATACAAACATTATACGTAGCTCTATGATTACGCCCAGTCTGGCAATTATAATGCCCTTATATTTCGTTGCTTCACTCTTAAGGTTTGCGTTTAGAGAACTACCTTCATACATATGTCGAACTACTAATGTAAATTTAATCATCATTGTTGTGAAATGTAAATTTGATGGCGTCGATGTATACATACTGTTCTTTTTTTCAACAACATAAAAAATAAGAGTTACTTGTGGTTTCCCCTTTCTTCTACTTTTAACAAACAAACAAATAAATAAATCCAACAAAAATATATATATATATATATAGGTCATTTCAGAAAAATGACAATAAATTATGGATTATAAAACCTTAGGCTGGAGAGCAGATAATCAATTCATTACAGATTATTTATAATAGATTAATCATGATTAAGCTTGGTAAAACATCAATTAATGTTCTGAAACATCACAAATCTTTAAAATGGCATGGATTATCACAGGATGGAAGAGATTAAATTAGGAGTTGTCTTATTATACAATAAAAGGTTAATATGGATGAGTTATACTAGTTTCATATTTCGGAAATAAAGTACAACTATTCGTTCGTTATTCATTGCGGTATATAATTATGCTCGAAACTTAAGAGTCGTGTACGTAGTCGTAAAAAACCAAAAACAAAATTTCGAAATTAACAATAACGAACATAAAAATGTAAGTATATATATATATGCCCATGTATCATTAAACTGCTGCAACAACAGCTCGCAAATCATTACGTTTCATAACTATAATGTCTTCATCATCGTCAATGTCAAACCACAAGATTCCAAAAACACTAATGATTTTGCTCATCATAAACTTATTACGCCTAATCCAAACTACTTCAGCTGTGACAAACTCCAATTCCAACTCCCACTTCTCAAGATTCTCGAGACATCGAAGTTCATCATCATCAAGAACCAAACAAGGGTTTATTGCATCGGTCCAAGAGGGTATGAACCATGCTCTCTTGGCTCGGTCTCTCGCTTTCAATCTCACTCTTTCTCATCGCACCGCAAAAGCTCACATGGTCGATCCCGTCCACGACTGCCTTGAGCTGCTCGACGACACAATTGAAATGTTGTCTCGCATCAACATTTCAGGTAATGATGATCATGAAGATGTTCATACATGGCTAAGCGCAGCACTCACGAACCAAGATACTTGTGAGCAGAGCCTCCAAGAAAAATCCAAGTCGTACCAAAACGAATTTGCGATGGATTTTGTTGCAAGAAACCTCTCTGGCATGCTGACTAACTCGCTTGAGTTGTACGTATTGTCCGTAAAGCAGAAAGGCGGGAGACTCTTGTCGGAACGTGAGCATATTCCGACGTTTGTTACTTCGTCGGATCGGAGGCTTCTAGAAGCTTCGGTGGAGAAGCTGAAGTTTGACGCGGTGGTGGCTGCAGACGGAAGTGGGACCCATAAAACCGTAGGAGAAGCGTTGTTGAGTGCTTCACTGGCGGCGAGTAGTGGGGTCAGGACCATAATTTACCTGAAAGCTGGGACCTATCACGAGAACATCAAGATTCCGACTAAGCAGAAGAACGTTATGTTAGTTGGTGATGGGAAGGGTAAAACGGTCATTGTAGGTAGCAGAAGTTATAGAGGCGGCTGGACTACTTACCAAACTGCCACCGTTGGTAAGATTTCAGTATTCAGTTTAGTTTTATCTGAAAGTTTAACTAACATTTCTACCAACACTAAAAAAAAAAAATGTCTATTCAGATTCGATTTTAAGAATTTTTTGGGTTTACAAAATGTTATATAGAAAATCGAATGAAAAAACAAATATCGTTCGGTCCTATTTATCAGTGTGTGGTTTAGTTTTGGGTTTGGTGTTTTAACAAAAACTTTATCTTTTTTATTTTTTTTGCCATCAACAAAAACTTTATCTTAATTTAAGAAGATTGAAATTTTAATATATTTAACATTTGGTTCGGTTTGGTTTTAGTTTAACACTTCGGAGAAAATAAGACAGAATTAGTTGGTTTTCTTCTTTGGTCCGGTTGAATTATGAATTTCTTTGGTACGGTTTGATTAAATTAGGATCGGTTAACGGATTGAAGCTTTTTTCTTTTTTAAAAAAAAATTGGAAGCTGCTATGGGAGAGGGGTTTATAGCGCGCGACATGACATTCGTGAACAGCGCCGGACCCAAATCGGAGCAAGCGGTGGCACTTCGGGTCGGAGCAGATAAATCCGTCGTGTATCGATGCTCCGTCGAAGGATACCAAGACTCACTCTACACACACTCGAATCGACAATTTTACCGAGAGACAGACATCACCGGAACCGTCGATTTCATCTTCGGAAACTCAGCCGTCGTTTTCCAATCCTGCAACATCGTCGCCCGGAAACCATTACCGGGTCAGAGAAACTTCGTGACGGCGCAAGGACGGAGACACCGGGATCAGAACACCGGAATCTCGATTCAAAACTGCAAGATCACGGCGCAATCGATGACTTTTCTTGGCCGGCCGTGGAAGGAGTATTCGAGGACGGTGGTGATGCAATCTTTCCTCGACGGGTCGATTCACCCGTCCGGTTGGTCTCCTTGGTCGGGTAGTTTCGGTCTCAACACTCTGTTTTACGGCGAATTTGAGAATTCGGGTCCTGGATCATCGGTTTCGGGTCGGGTTAAATGGAGTGGGTATCATTCGTCTTTAACAGTGAAAGAAGCGGAACGGTTTACTGTCGCTGGTTTCATTGACGGCGCGATGTGGTTGCCGTCAACGGGCGTTAGTTTCGACTCGGGACTTGTGAAGTGAGCTTATTACACAATTAAGCAGCTGGTTTGGCAATTATCAAAATTCTTATATAATTAAGTTCTTAGCTGAATTGTGATTAATAATTGTTAATTAATTACAACAACTGTGTGTTTAAATAAATCCCTTTCTTGTTTTAAGAATATGTTACTTTAAAATCTGGACTTGTTGCGTGATGTTACTACTAATCTGTTCTGTTTTACATTTTCTATATGTGTATATATGATTAAAATTGTCATTATTCGTTTCAGTTTTTATGTTTAGTTGGCAACTGCGATAATTAGACATTCATATTTGTAACTATCAAGAATTTTACAATTTGTGGTAACTGCAAATAAGTACAACATTTATCATCTTTTCCTAAGAAAATTTGTACACTATTATAGTTAGTGAACTATAAACGTGTTAAGTATAGTGGATCCACTATATTACATGTTGTAAAGGATAAGTTGTGTGTCACAAAACACACAACTAATCAAATCTTCTCTAAAAATTAAACTCTGTATATACACAAAAGCAATACTAACATAAATCGGCCATAGCATGATAAATATAAAATCCCATATTATCAAATGAAGAAAAGAAAAGAAAAAAGGTTTTCCGTTAGTTTTCGACTAATTAGGCCTATGACTAATACAAGACTAATACAAGATTAGTATGTTAGAGGCTATACGTATGGGTTTCGAAAACTCTTTTATCATCGCTTACTTGCAGGCTTCAATACTATTAATGGATGGGCTATACCCTTATCAAGAGGCCATAACTTGGATCCAATTTATTCACATAGATTGGTTTACAGTTTACTTACGATTGGCAGAAACGCAGAACGAACTCTCGTTCTTTGTTAGTTAAGTATATTTTGACTGAAATAATGTTAGTCAAATGGTTGGTCTATTAATAAATAATGCATGTTTACAATAGTCCAAATTCCAAACTATTCATAGATGCTACATGCGATGGTTTTGAGTTTTTTCTTTTTCGGAGAAATTTCATGTATACGCCAAAATAAAAAATAAAAATCATGTTAAAATTTGTTTTTTAACTGTGAGTAATTAATTAAATTCGTATGTTTTGGTCTTGTTAACATGCAAGATGAAAAGTGTGAAGAGTTATATTTACAGTTTAATATTGAGATTATCTTATTCAAGTCTCAATTGGATACTAGTATACATTTTAACATCCTCATGCATTTCCGGATATGTAACTATGCAAGCACTCGTTGAAACTTAAGAAAATATATAATATAATTTTATTTTCTGTGGAGAGCCATATACCAACTAACCATAATTGAAGAATAGTGATCAACAATAATTAAAAGTTTAAATGAAAATAAAAGAGTTAATTAGGAAGTGGTCATCGTTTTGGGTATTAAAATCTTGCCTCTCCAACAATAGGCAAGATTGGCCCCACCTTTTCTTTTTCCACGGTTCCGTTAAATACAATTTACATACTTGCATGTACGTGTGTTATATGTATGTGGACAATAAATTTATCCCACGTGCAACCTACTGTTTCTGTTCGTTTTTTTCTTTTAAGTTTTAGTAAGTTAGTAACCAACAAAATTCTTAGCGTTATACATTCTATAAAGTACAAAAATAATCAGAACATGTTCCTATAGGCGAGTGGCAAAATCCTCATAACATGGTCTTTGTCTTTAAAATAATTATTTTGACCTTCTATCCTTTTTCTGTTCTTCTATCTTTGTTGATTCCTTTAAACAATGTGTTTATACCAGAATAACCATATTCCAATTAATCACTATCTAACAAAGTTATATGTAAGATAATGTACAATTAAAAATATATATCAAAAAATTTTAATATTGAAGGTGTATTATTAGAAGCGGCGTTTTGGTTGTTGAGAAGTCTTCCGACAAGTCAAAACTAGAGAGATCGAATTTAGTTAGCCATGCAAAAATTTTAAATATGTTTTGCATCTGTTTGAAAAACTGTGAACAGTTTCTCAAAAATTAACAGCAGTTCTACGTGTAAATCTGAAATTTAATTTAAGATTATACGTTACAGTCGTTATATTTTTAACGAGTGTACACAAGACTTAAAAATAATCAAAGAAATGAAATTGAAACCTAAAATCATATTGTCACTATCCAACTTGTTTCAAATAAAGATGTTTTAACGAAAATTTGTGGGTATAATACTTTTTACAATATAAAATAATGCAAATTTTTGTGTGTTTGCAAGTAAGGTTTGGCCCGTCTGATTCAGATACATCTGTCTTTGAGGTTTGGCAAAAAAAAAGGAAAGAATATGAGCGCCGTCATGTTATCCACCGGAGAAAGTAATAACGGAGCCACGTCATCAAATTACGGAATAAATTCGCCGACAGTTGTAACGTCAAGCATAATCAGCCGTCTTCTTTTTTCACAAAACGTAATAAAAGCAGCTGACAAAAAGAGAAAGAAAGGCGTCAGTGATGACGTGGCTTTTTCACACGTTTCCGATTTTAAACGTGAGTGAATACGATATAATTCCTCTTTTTTGTTTCAGTTTAACAATTGTCACGATTTAGTCTATTATTACTGGGCCAGTAGCATTTGTTCTTTTCTATTTGTTTTACGTTTTTAGTTGAATATTAAAAGTTAGCCCCAACGACTAAACTATTATTAATTACAGAAAATGAAGGGGAGAATCAAAATAAAAACGAATGGTGTAGTTACGGAGTATTAATTATATAATTAAACAAAATTAAAAGATAAAGATAAGAGAAAAAGGAAAGTGGGGGTGGGTAAAGGCCATAGCCATGTGCCTTCATGTGGTGGTTGGCCCATTAGTGGGTCCACTCTACCACTTCTTCAACTCTTCCTTCTAGTTTTATTAATAGTAATCTACACCTTATTACTCATTTGGTTACACTCCTAATATCATTTTTGGTTTTGTTTTGTTTTGTTTTATCAATTATCATTTTACCGAAACTTAGTTACCGTTTAAACTCTAAACATATTTCTATGATAGATGTTTAATTTGAAACCTTATAGAAAACTGTGGGATTAATTAAGGAGTTTTTGGAGCTGAATTTTGAAGAGGGGAGATTTTGACCCCCCAAAAAAGATGGGAAATATGATAATAGTAATATACAAAATAAGTAATGGCGTGAAAAATACGTCCGGCGGCAAAGCGTTAGGGAGAGAGTGATTAACACAAAAGAGATGGGACTAATGCTAAATTATAGCCTTAACCAAACACAAATCGTATTCCTCAAGTCTCCCTTCTCTTCTTTTTTTTTTTTTTTAATTTTCTTTGGGTAGTCTTTCCTAAATTAGTTTTATAACCAATTGAATTATCTCATTTACTATAAAAAAGAAAGGAAATATATTTATATACAATTTTGTTGTTGCTTTGCATGGTGAATACATTTTTTCATATCTTTGATCCCTTTTTATCACGTTTTATCTTTGATGATGCGAGCAGCTATTACGTTTATAGCACACACTCTCTCTCTATCTTCCAGTTGATCATAGTTGTTTTTCTCTTTCAATTGGGATCGAATATAAATACTCAATCGGTTGCCTTACGAGCGTTGGATTTTCATTTGCTGATTTTTTAATTTGTAAGATATCAAACAAGTAATACTTATCAATTAATTGATTTTTTTGGGTTTTTGTTGATTATTTTGCAATGAAAATGAGCTTAGACGTTTTTCCATACTAATCGTCATTAATTGTCAACTAATGTTAACAGAAATTAAATACATACATATTAAATAAGATATATCGCTTACCTAATATTATCATAATCGTCTCTATTAGCTGTTCACGTTAATTAATCCATACGCATTCGTCACTTAAATTAACCTTTTTATAAAAAACAAACAAATAAAAAAAAATGAGGTGGGAATCTTATACCATAACCTGATGTCTGCTCCGAATGGCTCCTATTTCCGTTAATGCAAAGCTAATAGCCAAAAGAGCTCAATTAATTTGCGTCTACGTAAACACCATCCGACTTTTTATTTTTTTAGCTGAAATATTATACATTCTAATTGGTCAAAAAATAGCCAAGTTCTGTTAATTTATTAATTGGCACCCTTTTTCTTCAAGCCAAAACATCGTTTTCAACTAAAGGGCCAACTAAAGGTGTGTATTATACTTATCCAAATACCAAGGTTTTGCTATATGTATAAACTTCATATTTCAATTTTTAATTATAAGTTATAATCACCAGTAAACATTCTAACAGTACAATAAACCACAACAGATGAATCTCAAAAAATTTGAACTAATATTTTACTTTTTCCCATTTTTTTTGTTGTTGTTAACTCCCAAACATCAATACCTGTATTGTTTGTTTGTTACCATTGAAGAAAACTACACTTAAACATTATATTCTTATATCTCTCAATGCAACTAAATTTAACGGGCAATTAAGCTCCAATTAAATTCAATCTATTAGCACATCTAACTTTCTACATCTCACTCATCTTTTTCTGTTCTTTCAATTATATACATATTTACAACATGCATGATTTAATAAAATAACTATCTAAAAATAACTTTTAGGTCTACATATTTTAAACTTAGAGATGATTTCTATACTTGTGTGTGTCTTGTAACATAAAAAAAACCCTATTCGTAAAAGAAAATTTTTAGTGTACAAGTAATTAATCAATATTTTTTCTTCTCTCTCTCACTGCGCCTCTCCGTCACTTATTTAACCCTAATCTTGTGTCATTCTAAAAAAAAAGCTCTATAAAGGTTCTCAACTCTGAGTTCTTTTTCTTTTTTCTCTACGAACCCTAAACAATGGCCTCTCCAGACAAACCCATAAACACAGACGTCCCAGAAAAAAACGCTTTTGCCCTCCACTTCCTCCAAACCCTCTCAAATCTCAGAACACAAAACCCTTTCAATTCTCCTAACAAAACAAACGATCGTGTGACGAAGATAAAGAAAGCTGCGTACGTATCCATGGCCAGAGCAGCCGGAGGGACTAATCGGCTGTGGAGCAGAGCCCTCTTGCGCCGAGCCGCCAAAGAAGACAACAAGATCGTAAGATTGAGGAAGAAGAGAGTGACGTGGCAGAGAAGGAGAAGGAACCAGAGAGCTCCGGAGGTGGAGAGGCTGAGGAAGCTTGTTCCGGGAGGCGGAGGAATGGAGACGTCAAAGCTGATGGAAGAGACGGCTCATTACATCAAGTGCCTTTGTATGCAGGTCAAAGTCATGCAGTGTCTCGTTGATGGCTTATCTCCGAAATGATCATCAATACATCATCATCATCATTGATGCATATAGAGATATACGACATACATAGTATTGGAAGAATGGGGTGATCATGTCCCATATATACATATGTGTATATATTATTATATGTATACATACGTGTAAGATAGGATACATATATGAAATGTGTGGATATGTATGAGCCGATAAGTAAAGAAAGATTTTTTCTTTTTCTTTTCTTTTCTTGAAATTTTGAAACTATTGGAATTTTATATTTAATTGTCATGCCGGTTTAAGTTGGTATTGCTTTGTGTATAATTTTTTTTATAAACATTAGGGTTTGGGAACTTGCCGTTGGAGCTACGCACTACTTCTTTCTTTCGTTTTTTGAACCAAGCGATGCACTACTTGGCTTGGCTCGTTTTGATTATAATTCATAAATGGTGTTTCTACGGATGGATTATATATCAATTTCGAACTTGTAATATAAATTGTACCATTATAACTATCATAAAAAATATGATTTATATGGCTTATACATCTATCATGATTGATCATTTATCCATTTTTTTTTATAAAAAATATCTAATGTTCTAGCTAGTTAAAAAATTATGTATATTTGAAATTATGGATCATTTAATTAATTAAATATTATATCTAATAATCAGTTGACATACTACTTTGTAGAATGTTTTTGAAAAACGTATTTCACCCTTTTTTTATTTATTTATTTAACTCACACACTACACAACTAACAACAAGCAAAACTACTAACTCTCCGATTATATTTATTTTCTTTCTAATCACATTTTTCGTGGGAGCGATTACCTACACGTCATATGATATTATGCAGTTGGTCATACCTATGTTTCATACGATTGTCTACTTTATCAATAATCATATACATGTACGTAAATAGACTTGTCAGTATTGGTTGGTCAATTCCACAATATCACATCAAATACTGATTTTCAATCCGTCAGAGTCAAATTTTGTGAGGTATAATGGATCTGTACCTGAAAACTAGTTAATAACAAAAGGGAACTTGTTTGCGTTAATTGAAATACTACAAAATGTTGGTCACTGTGCCCGTCTGAATTCAACAAAAGATTAATACAGGCTCTGTACAACATCTACTACAGAACATTTTTACTTCTCCCCAACACAAGAAAATACGTAATACACTATTACATTTTCCAATATGTCTGGAGTTACTTTTGGTATCCGATTAAAGCATCTTTCGTAGATTAAACCTGCTCGATGTTCAGGGGAAGACAGATCTGGTTTGATTGATAACATTGTTGAGTCATGTTATTATGCCACAGGCAGAGGATCCTCCGGTGTGTGAGATTCTGATTCTTCAATACCGTAATTCCATAGTTCTTTAAGCTCACCTCTTATCAACCCCAGAATGACGGCCAAACCTATCAGAGAGGAACACGTCAAGTTTTGTTTGAAAACGATAAACAAGAACAGATTGAGAAAGATAAATTCAAGCTTCTGGTATTACCAAGTGTGCAGGGAACGATGTACAGTAGAGCTGGCTGGCCATGTCCGTCCATCAGATACAAACCTAGATATGTCAGTAACAGGCCTACAAATACAAAACAAGAAGAAACAATGTTTCAGTGAAGTTTCAAAATTGATAACGTGAGCAGCCATCTCGATTAGCAAGTGAATGTATGTTAATTTCTTGTCGGAAAAATACATATTGGGATCGTTCAAGTTTGTATGAGTTATATAACACAATTTATGTTCACAGAGTCAGTAATGCATGGACTTACCTATTCCATAGCCGATAGTCAACCAAAGGAAGTACCCATTTGATACTATCCTCTTTTTAATCTTGTCATATCTATGATCAAAGAGAAAAGCAAGTATTAACCGTCGGAGAGGATTGAACAAACATACGAGTATAGTTGTGAAAGAATCCTGATGGAATTCTAAGTTTCTTCTTTGAATCTCTAAGAATGTAACTGAGCAAAAGTTGTACCTGGAAGCAAAGGAAATGAGCAAACCGGGGAAGAGGATGTCCCCAAAACCAATCATGTCATAGCCACCCCAAGGGTCAAAAAACCGAGGAATCCTTAATAGCATGGGAATGGACTCTCCGCTGCTGCTGTCTCCTTGGGCAACCTACGAAGAAGGGATCTCAAATAAGAATAACAACTACCTAACTTGCCATGGTTTAAGAGATTACTCAGCTATTAGAATCAGATACTGTTGATAGGTTACTGAGTTATAACTGTTATCAGGAAACAAGCCCAACTTAGAAATGAGAGAATTACGGACATTGCGATAGAAACTCACCACAATCATGACGCTCTCATGAAATATCAATGGCGATATGAAGACCCAGAAAATGTCATACACAAACGCGCAGCAAAGGAGTACAGTAGCAACCTGGGGTGCAGAAAATTATCAGCACTAAACAGAGAACCATCATAAATTACTACATAACAAGCCAGATTATCTACCTTGATGTTAGGTAATCGAACCACTTGCAAGGCTGTGATCATCAAACAGATGCCCTGTCGACAATGTAACAATGAATATCTCACATTTTGCAACCAAGGAAACCGAAACATCTCTACACGTCCCCTTTCTTTAGGGAGAGAGGGGAATATAAAACTATGGTAACAGATAAAGCAGTCATAAAGAGGACCAATGAGAGGAATGACTTCAAAAAGCATTGAGTGCATAAAGAAAAGAGAGCTTTACCAAGATGTCTTGCCCAACCCAAGAATACGATGTGTGCCGTTTTACAAACCAGAAAACAGCAAACGCCACACAAAAAATGTTCACCAAAAGCGACATCCATGACATGGTCCCAACCAAAGGGAGCTTCACAGATTTCCGACCAAGATGTCTGCATTTTCTGCAGGCGGGTCACAACATATATCCGTTAAGATATGGTAAGCAGAAAAATAGAGAAGTGAGGTATTTAAAAGTAATTTAGAATACCTCAATAAAACTGCCATAATGATGTTATGAATACCCTGAAAATAACAGCCACTTTGTTAAATTGATGGAAAAAGCAAATTTACATTCGATACACATGTCAAAATCAACAGAATTTTGGAGGAAATTACCTGCATTCCGCCGATGCAGAAAAATATGGTGAGCACCCATACAAACCATGATGACATGAAGTAGAAAAGGAGCAGCAGAAAAATGGAGGCTGTTACAATAAAAAATACAGCACCAGTGACACTTATATCAAGGATTTCCTTCTCTGAGTCATCTTTTCTGGTTCCAGCACTAGAAAATTCCTGGAGAAAATTAAGTTTCAACTTAGTCTTCCTTATTGAAAAGACATATCGGTAACTCAACATCATAACAGCTACTAAGTCATACACATTGAAGTTGTGATCACCAAGTCCACAGACTTACAAGGTTACGCAAAGTATCTGGGAAATGTACACTACGTGTATAGGATATTAAAGGAAGATGGTTGTAAATGGTATGAAACCATAGTAAGTAAAAGATCTTAAGCACAATTTTTTAGTATAGCTACCAATGGTGAACAACAAACAAGGACTTGAAAAATGTTAAACTTTTTTTAACAAAAAAAAGAAAAGAGAAAGATGTTAACCTTTGCTAATATGCTGTACGACTCATTAGCTTGGTCAGGATCTGTAAGCTCTGACCACAATGATGCAACGACAACAGTTCCAACAGCCATGAGCAATAAAAATCCTGCTGTGAGGTCCACAACAGGACGGTTTGGTGCATACAACAGAAGCTCAACTGAAACACAAAGAAAATGGACTTAGACTAGAAGAGGGAGTTTTACAAGAATAACAGATGTTACATGTTGTAGAGGTAGAGGATCAACAAGTCAATAAGCATATTTAGTGGCTGAGAAAACTGAAATGCAAAATCACAAGGACTCACCATTCTTTTTTTCTACCATAGACCTGTTGAGAGCATCCCCGCTTGACTTAGAGATCATTAAGACAGGTATGCTCACATTTAGGGATGTGTCCTTTTCCATACATCCCATCTCATCAAGATCTGATGACAGACCATGACTCAATTAGTTGATACAAAGCCAAGAGACACGAAAATGTCAAATCCAAAACCGTATCGAAAAGCCAAACCTTCTTTGTCATTAATGACCAGCAGAGCAGAAGCACCAGCTGCCTCGGCATGTTTAGCCTTCTCTGTGAAAGCACAATCCCCCCGGACCGACAAGGCAATATGACCATCTAACTGGAACAACAATTCAAAGCCAATTTAGCCAAAAAGAAAACACCAACGGAAAAACAATGAACATTGCCAAATCTCAGTAAGTGTAAACCCATCCAGAAACTGAGCATAGAAACAGCTTGCAGCTCCAAATTACATGAATCTGAGCAAGCCATTCAGCTGGAGAGAATGGATTGCATTGTCTAGAGTCTAGACCAAGTAAAAGAGACACTGACCCTGGAAGAGAGATTGGAGCAAGAGTCCAAAGGATCTACAAAAGCAGCCGGAAACCTAACGCCTTGATCAGCAACAGAAGGCAACGATGCTCCAAATTGAGCACTTAAGCCAGTTAGGAAGTCACCTTCAACACCATCAATCCAATTCAAGACCTTAACCTGTATTCAACATTGAGACCAAACACATTAAGCTTTGAATCAGGTCTTTTCACATGTTTAAGATTAGAAAAAACAAAAGCGAGAAAAGGAAAATCGATCAATCAAACTCCAGTGAACCAGAGGATGATTGAGTACGAAGCAAAGACTCCAGATAAGAACCGATAAGCTGAATAACCATTTGAAACTTATTGGTGCAGCCAGGAGTCTCGAGACTCGAATCGTCAATCCAGGACACATCGTCGGCGACCACTACCGAAAAACCAAGTACAAGGAGAATCACAACTACGGAAAAGCATCGGTGACGACGATGGCTCGGCGGATCAGGCGACGACATGACGCAACCGATGGAACAAATCGGAGAGAAATGGGAAGAAGAAGAGAGAAAGAGTTGCGGTTAAATATCTTATAGGATCTATCGGAGTCGGACGGTCGATTATACTTATTTATTTTTTTTCTCCAATTTTTGCGATTCATTTAATAATTATTAGTTTTCTACAAAATGCGACAGATTTTAGTTGTTGTTTTGGAGCTTTCGTTACTTTTCTCAATTAATTAGCAAACATTGATCAATTTAAAGAATTTATATTTTGACAAGAAAAATCTAATAATCTCCAGCTACTTCAGAAATGTTTTTGAGCATAACTAAGATACCCACGATGTATTTGACTTATCAGGCAAAAATCATTAGAAAAAATCAGCAGAAAATCATTGGCTAGTTAAAATTAGAAATGTGGTCTCAATGTTTGTGTAATATAGATTTGATGATTAAAATAACATGAACTCGATTATACTTTATTTTAACAATAAAAAACAAATGAAACTATTGATCAGAGAGAAAAATGCAAAAAAAAAAAATCACGAGAAATTGAATTTTCATCTAATTTTTTGTTCAATGTTCTCCGACCCAATTTTTCTTGTATCATTCTGAAATTTTGAATAGTTCACTGTGTTATTTGAGCTGAAACACAAGTACATTAATCATGTATATCATTTGAAATGTTAGAGGGACACATTATATTAATTTTTAATCAAAGTAGTTATTATTAAGGTCATTAGGACTAATCTGACAAAAAAATGTCATTAGGACTAATATAATTATAACTATCTTTATATAGTAAAATATATATACTTATAATATAGTTAGCTATCTTAATTATGTTTTCTATAAAACCTATTGCAAAAAAATTGAATATCTCTTTTTTTCTTTTCATATTCTCTTCCTACATGTCACAGCCACTCAGGTGTGTGAAATACGATGGAAATTTTTTCAAAAAGAAAGTAAAAGAGAAAAAGAGTCCATGACTAAATAATGGACATTCAAAAATAAGAAAAAAAAAACAGAAAAGAAAAAAAAAAGAAGGGAAGGAAGGAAGCGCAAAAAATAAAATAAAGAAGGTATATTTTTCTGTTTAAAGAGCACAGATCCCTTCAAGAAACTCCTCTGACGTTTCTCAACCCAAATCTCAAGCTCCTTTTTTTTCTTCCTTCTGCAAGAACTGTTACAAATCTCTCTATCTCTCCCAAAGTTTTTTTTTTTTTTGGTCGGAGATCGAAGGCAAGGAGACATGGCTCCTGCCATGAAGATCGTGTTCGGTCTGTTGACATTTGTCACTGTCGGAATGATCATAGGTACTCTCTCTCTCTCTCTCTCTCTATTTATAGTCGACGCTTGTACGCAAATGATTACGTGTATGCACATTTGATTTTTCGATCTTCAAAGTTGTTTTTTTTTTCCCGGCCGAAAGGAAATTGCTTGTCATTGCCGTGATTCTAGTTCGAAACTGGGGAGTTTTTATTCGGAGACGACTATGAAATTGACTTTATGAGAAATTGAAACGGCTTTGGTAACTCATGGAGATTGTGTTTCGTTTTTCCTGGAACCTGCAGGTGCCTTGTTACAATTGGCCTTTATAAATAGATTGGAAGATTCGTACGGTAACTCCTCTTTCTTCCGATTTCTTTACGTTTATGTGTGTTTACTTGTAGATTTGTGTTTCGAAACAGAACTGCAAAATACTGATACAATGTTTTATTCTAGTTTGAAGGTCTTTGATTCTTGGCAATGTCTGTCATGTTCTTACTGAGATTTAGCTAGAGATAAGGTTATGAGAGCTCTTCTTCTTACAGTGGAAACACTAGTATGTAGTGGAATTTGCAAGACTAAATCAATTGTAGTGTTATGTATAGCGAAGAGAGGCTCTTCGTTATGTTTTGCTGTGTTTTCTATTCAATTCTCTCAGTAGCTTTTTCTTTTTATTTCAGGAACTGGATTTCCATCCCTAAGAGGGCTTCGGGGCCAGCATGCCCGTTATCTTCGAGGTTGGTGTGATCATTCTAGCCAAAATTATGCTTGCATCATATAAGTTCACACAATAGATTTCCATTCGGAATCTTAGCTTTATGACAAAATGATTCTGGAGAGATTGATTTGTGGATTATGATACGGAAAGTATAACGACAAGACTCGTTTATTTTTCAGATGTTTCTCGGTGGGCAAATGACAAAGAAGCAGAAATTTTACGGCTTGGTTATGTAAGTCTATGATATCCGTTCTGCAACTAATTTTCTTTCTCAGTGCCAATGCTTTCCTTCAGATTGTTATTTGTACGCCTCTACAGTTACAAGAAAATGGTAAAAGGAGAATGAAAGAAAACTTAAAATAGTTTTCTACTTAACAAGTGTTTGTTATGACTCTGTAAAATCAGGTCCATTTCTGTTAGCTTCTAGCTAATGTTTATTTTGCTTTAGTGCAGGTCAAGCCTGAAGTGGTCAGTTGGTCCCCTCGTATTATTGTGCTTCATAACTTCCTAAGCTCGGAGGTATATACACGTCCCGTAGATTAATGTTAGTTCATTGAGTTAACTTTGTAGCAATGAGTTAACTGATCATAAGATAGTATGTTCTTGCTGATATTATCATCTTCATTCTCACAAGGATAAGATCAGATTTAAAAGAGAAGCAAAATCTTAGGCTCAGTTCTAAGAGCATTATCATATGACTTAGAAAAAGGGAATTTGGCATTTTATCTGCTCCCACTAACATTTTATTCCTCCTGCTTGGTATGTATGCAGGAATGTGAATACCTAAAAGCAATCGCCCGGCCTCGCCTTCAGATTTCCACTGTTGTTGATATAAAAACCGGAAAGGTACATGACAATATCTTTCTTTTTCACTCCCTAGAAATAGAGGTCTATTGTACACTTGTTCCATAGAAGAAGTACAATTTCTATTACCTCCACTCTCTGCGTGTCTATCGTTTCAATCAAACATTGGACGCAAGTAAGAATGCTCTAGTTATGCCTTCATAGGCTTATCTATTCTCTTCCATTTTTTTTTTAGTATTATTACAGTCTTCTTCTTGCTTGCTTAGGGCGTGAAAAGTGATGTGAGGACAAGCTCTGGAATGTTTCTAACTCACGTAGAAAGAAGTTATCCAATAATACAGGTAGGTCACTGTACGAATATCTTGAAAAAGTTTAATTTGGATCAAGTTAACATTTTTGTACGTTATATTCCTTTTTCTTTTGCAATCAGGCAATTGAAAAGCGAATTGCAGTCTTTTCTCAAGTACCAGCGGAAAATGGGGAACTCATTCAAGTTCTAAGGTGCGTGCACAAGTGCAACCTTACTATAAAATTAAAGCAAATAAAGCTGTTTTCTTGGTTTGATGAATGAAAATCTGCTGCAGTGCAGATACGAGCCGAAACAGTTTTACAGACCGCATCACGATTACTTTGCTGACACTGTAAGCCTTTGGTGCTATCTCATTTAGATATCATTAGTAGATTTTGATAGAAGAAGCTCTTGCACTGGTCAAAAATCGTAATAGGAGGATGGAACACTGTATAGTTTTTGGTCTGATCATTACTGTATAGTTGGATAGTTACTTATTCTTCTTTTTAATGATCTTAGAACATTTGGTCTGATTTTTTGAGGACTTACTAATTTCTAGTGTTGTTCATCATATATCCTCGTTTCTTTTTTATGATTCCACACAGTTCAATTTGAAGCGGGGTGGTCAGCGCGTAGCAACTATGCTAATGTATTTAACAGATGACGTCGAAGGAGGAGAAACTTATTTCCCTTTGGTATAATTCTTCTTCTTGGTGAATTCTTTAGATCTGCAAATACAAAAAGAAAAAAGATTGTTTCTTCTGTTATGAATACATTCTGAAGAAACAAACCAATGTGTATCTTTCTCTCTCTTTTCGAAATGCAGGCTGGTGATGGTGAATGCACTTGTGGTGGCAAAATCATGAAAGGCATCTCTGTCAAACCCACCAAAGGAGACGCAGTTCTCTTCTGGAGCATGGTTTGTTTCTTCACTTTCTGGACTCATACATGAATCATCTGGACTGCTTTGTGTTCAATTTCGTCTTGTGTAATTCAGGGACTCGATGGACAGTCAGATCCGAGGAGCATACATGGGGGATGTGAAGTTCTGTCTGGAGAGAAATGGTCGGCCACTAAATGGATGAGGCAAAAAGCTACTTCTTGAATCTTGAGGGACTTAACTTATAAAAGCCAAAGGAACCACAGGGACTTATATTGAAAATGTTATAGAATCTCAGAATTTTGACTTTTTTCTCTTTCTGACCCTTCAACTTTAGTATCTATCATTTACATACATAATTGAGGTGTTTTCACTTTTCAGTTCCCGTCCCCAACAAATCCTTTATCTGTAGTATAGCGTCACATTACAAAAATAATAATATTCAGGGACCTGTTTACAAAATATTTAAATGTTTTAAGAACGGATGTTAGTAATAATAACGAAGGAGAGTGACGTTTTGAGAAAATATTAAATAGTAGTAATCGCATTTGTTTTTGTTTAATACTGTAAGTTTATCAGTGAAGGAAGATTTTGACTTTGGTTCCATATTGACCACAGCAAACAGAAACCATGGCGGCTTCTCTGCAATCCGCAAACCCTACATTTTCCCGAACCCTAGCTTCACCGAGCAGATCTTCCTTCGCACCCTTCCGATCACCATTTGTCAGATTCGATACCGCATCGGCCTCGTTCAATTACAAACCCCTCGTTTCTCGAGAGGCATCATCGGCGTTCGTCACTCGCTCCGCCGCCGAGCCGCAAGAAAGAAAGACCTTCCATGGCCTCTGCTATGTCGTCGGCGACAACATCGACACTGACCAGATCATTCCCGCCGAGTTTCTCACCCTCGTCCCTTCCAACCCAGAAGAGTACGAGAAGCTCGGATCCTACGCCCTAATTGGATTACCAGCTGCTTACAAGGAGCGATTCGTGCAGCCGGGAGAGACGAAGACTAAATATTCAATCATCATCGGCGGAGAGAACTTTGGATGCGGTTCGTCTCGTGAACATGCGCCGGTGTGTTTGGGAGCGGCGGGAGCAAAGGCAGTGGTGGCTCAATCGTATGCGAGGATCTTTTTCAGGAACTCGGTGGCTACGGGAGAGATTTACCCGCTGGATTCGGAGGTTAGGGTTTGTGATGAGTGTAAAACAGGGGATGTTGCGACGGTGGAGTTGAGGGAAGGGGATAGTATTCTGATCAATCATACGACGGGGAAAGAGTATAAGCTGAAGCCGATTGGTGACGCCGGACCTGTCATTGACGCCGGAGGTATATTCGCTTACGCTAGGAAAGCAGGAATGATTCCATCTGCAGCTGCCTGATTTCGCAATCTGGTATGGTTTAACCAAACCTATTATATACCTGGAAATGGGAATGGTCTTTGAGATTAGAATTGTTGACAGATTTGTAAAGAGATCAAATTGTAGAATAATCTGGGAATAGCTTGACATTGATGAAAAACATAGTTTTTTTGCGGTTCTTGTTCTCAATGGTTCTCATAGAAAAGATTGTTTTATGGTTTCGTGTGAAAAGATATTAGAAGCCAAGTTGTTGATTTTGTGTGAGGATGATAATGACTGGTTCTAGACTTAATCACTTATCAGTGTTCCAAGTTCGTTCTTCTCTTCACTTAGATTTAGATTACCATTTCCTATCCCACTGGTTCAGTTAGTTGCAAAAACTTGAGAAACTTTGGGTTGTAGTGGTTTGGGAGGTATTGAACTTGTGTACAAGTATGTTTTTTTGGCTGATCTTTTTTCATGTTTTACCATGCTAACTTCCATAAGGCTTTTGTATCCAATAGTAGAAGACACCATTCGTCTTCTTTTTTTTTTTATTTCTCTAAGACTCTTCTCTATTTGTTTTTGCAGGGTCATGCATGCCCATGAGAGTTGTCTTATCAGCTAAAAATATCTTCAAGGGTAATCCTCAGCTTCACGTCCTCCATCGTGTCGTCCAATAAAAAGAACAATAAGTAGATGTATGTTTTTCAAGAGTTTGTGAACCTAATCTTAAGCTATATGAATATATATGACTATCTGTTTAGTCTTCTATTTCAGTTTATTCTTTACATTTGGGTGTTTCAATGGTTTCTGAAACTTTGTTTTCTCTGGAAGTATAAGCAGAAGGTTTTACAGAGATCTATTATAAGTCACTATGCCTAGAAAATGAATATAAAATCTTCGTCTTTGGCCTCTGTAGAAACTGATGAGAACAAAAAAAAGCACCTTTTGTTTCATAGCAACCTACCCTCGAGTCTCAAAACGCACGTTTAGAATTCCCAAGTGGCACATCCGTAAATACAAGGGTTCAAAGATTGTTCCTTTTATAATCTCTCTGTTTTCTTCCCTCTGTTACTCAACAGACAAGTTCGATCACAGAGCCAAAAAAAACAATGGCGTCTTCTCTTCCTACATTGCCCAGAGCCTTACCTTCCTCATCAAGCAAACCTTCTTCTTCCTCCGGTCCTTTCCGATCTCCTTTCCTCAAAGTCAACGGTTCCACTTCCTTCATCCCCTCTTCTATCTCCCTCGCTTCACGTGGCGCATCCTCCATCATCCCACGTGCCACAGCCTCCTCTGCTGGATCTGACTCTGAGGAAACTCTAGCGAAAACCACCTTCCACGGTCTCTGCTACGTCTTGAAAGACAACATAGACACTGACCAGATCATCCCAGCAGACAAAGCCTGCATCTTCCCATCGAACCAGCAAGAGCGTGACGAGATCGCCTCCAACGCCCTCTCCGGTCTCCCAGACTCCCACAAAACCCGGTTCGTTGAGCCAGGAGAGATCAAATCGAAATACTCAATCATAATCGCCGGTGAAAACTTCGGTTGCGGGTCGTCACGAGAACACGCTCCGGTCTGTCTCGGAGCAGCCGGAGCTAAAGCCGTCGTTGCTCAGACTTACGCAAGGATCTTTTTCCGTAACTCGGTGGCTACAGGAGAGGTGTTTCCGCTTGAGTCAGAGGTTAGAGTCTGCGACGAGTGTAAGACAGGTGACACGGTGACGATCGAGCTGAGAGATAGTGGTGGTTTATTGACTAATCACACGACCGGCCAAAAATATAAGCTCAAGGCGATCGGTGATGCGGGACCGGTTATTGATGCTGGTGGTATCTTTGCTTATGCGAGGAAGATGGGAATGATTCCTTCATTAGCTTAAACTCTTCTTCACATTCAATTACTTGTCTTTAGAGTTCTCTCTGTTCTCTTGACTTTTGATCTTTATTTATATAATGAATTAGATCATCCAAAGCCAAGTAGAAGACATGTTCCAACTTCCAAGTAATGATATACCAAAACTATGTGTTTCTATGTGTATCAATATTTTAATACTCCCAGCTGCAATTTACTACCTATTCTAGGCTACTACCAATCAAAACCGGTTATGTCAAGTAATTTTGTCTAATTTGGTTTGGTTATTGGAAGTCGTTATGAAATAACCGTTTAGCGCTCGGTTCAAAAACCAGACATCGCTAAACCTAAATTTGTGACTCTTTATAACGCCGCTTCTTTTCTACATTAGCTGTATAACTCAGCAAAAACATGGCAACCACAGAGGTTAAACCCTCCGCCGATAAAAACCCTAAACGAATTCGGAATCCATCACTGGGTCCGAATAAAGATTTGAAGAAGAAGAAGAAGACTAAGAAGTCGAAAGCTCTCGCCTTTGATAAGACCCTTGAGAAGAGTAATAGAAACGAGCAGAAAAGCGAGAACGATGGCGATGAGCAACCGGATTCGCAACCGGCATCGGCTTCTGAGCAGCTTAGCTTCTTCTTAAATCAGCTTGAATCCGCCATTGGTGTCCGGGTCTCTACTATAGAGCTCGATCCCATTAAAGGTTCGTCCTTTGTTTAATCCTAGCTCGGTATTTATGATATATGAACACTGTTTAAGTAATTTTCCCAGAATATGAGCTTTAAAATGTTTAGCAATGCCCAAATTACAAGTTTTGATAATCTGTAGATTGTCTTGTTGATCGCAGATAAGTGTATAGTGGAGTTATCTCAAAGATTGGAACAAAATGTAAGCAACTTGGGAGAGCATATAAAGATGTCTTATGGGTCTTCATGGAGAGAGTCTCTTTGTGAAGGAGAGCTTATTGAAGGGAAAGTTGACACCGGAAGCCCATCTGTTCTCGTTGTTAGCTCCTCTGCCTTGAGATCTTTGGAACTTCTAAGGTATCGTTGTGAAACTGTGTTCTTGAATCTGTTATCGCTTGATTGAATTCAATGGTGCTTAGACTAGTATTGTTCTGATATGTGCAGGGGTTTGCATTCACTGACTAAGCAATGTCCGGCAGTTAAGTTGTTCTCAAAGCATTTGAAGGTTGAGGAACAGGTAGTGTTCTATTTCTTAAAAGGATTTTTCTGTAGAGAAGTGAAATTAGTTCAATGCATGTAGAGAAAGATAAGAAATTTTGAAACATAGGTTATTAGATCTCAGACCAAAACATAGTTTTTGATGTGATCTTTTTGTTTTGATACTTCCGTGTGGATGCATGTTTCCTGCTTCCTGTGAAACTTCGGGATATGATGACAAAAATACGAAATCTCTAAGGCTAATGCTCTGCAGATAAAAATGTATTTGCACGTCAGTCTGATCCCATTATAGTCAAGTAATTTCTTGTGTTTATCTAATGTTAAGATTCTGGGAAGTGATGATAAGATATATCGATATGTCATAGGCACACGCAATGCTGAACAACATATTTGCACGTCAGTCTGATCCCCCCATCATTTAGTTGTAGCATTAAGGCACTAATGCATATAGTTATGTTATTCATTTTTTTCTTTTTTCAGAGTCTGGGAAATGATGATAAGATATATCGATATCTCAGAGGCATATGCAATGCTGAACCAAATATTTGCACGTCAGTCTGATCCCAGCTCTCGTTTTCAACCTTTCTTTTTTGGCATATAAAGTTATAGTAAAAATCTCACATCATAGCCTTTCCCTGTCCATTACCATAAAAATGGAATTGTTCTTGAAATTTCTTGTTATTTTGTTATTTTCTTTTCTATCTTTCGGATATGATGATTAAAAAAATGGATGTTGATGGCATCTTTGCCGCTGAAGCAATCTTTATTTTGCACGTCAGTCTGATCCTGTTTTTCTCTTACATAACCAAACGCGTGATACTTTCCAAAACATACATTGCTCTAAAGTCATAATGTTCTTGTTTGTTGGAACTTGGTAGCAATGGCTTCTGCTATGGTCTTAAATGCAATCTTATGAAAAAAAGATATTTGTTTGCGTTCTCAGCTCTGTTGTAGATTTCTCAGTCTCACTGTTCTGACTCAATTTATAAACTCAATTCCATGGTGGGTGCAGGTATCTCTGTTGAAAAAACGGGTTAATATTGGGAGCGGCACACCAAGCAGGTTAGTAAAGTTCATATTTTTCTTTAACTTATATCTTCATATCCTTCTCGCTGATTGGCCTCTTGCTTCTGTGTGCAGAATCAAAAAGCTAATCGACATAGAGGCATTAGGGCTTTCACGTTTAGATATGATTGTGCTCGACATGCACACAGATGTCAAGGGATTTTCCTTATTCACATTGCCCCAAGTCAGGTTTGTTTCTCCACTCTTCAACAAGTTGCCCCCATCATAGTCAAACTTCACTGATCCGTTAAATTTAATTCTGAAGAAAAAAAATGTTGAAATTTGCAGAGATGAGTTTTGGGATTTGTATAAGAATTGCTTCCACCAGAAAGTGTTAGAAGGAAGTCTACGTATCTGTCTGTATGGTCCAAAGCCATCAGCTCCAAAGGTTAAGAACAATAAGAAGCAGAGACAAAACCAACATTGAACTAAAAGTTTCTACTCAGATTTTGATATATTAGCTCTAATTTTGCAATATTTGATGTTATTTTATTATACAGAGTGAATCATGAACAGAATGTGAGAGAAATACAATAGGTGTGTTAATTAGTGTTCTTTTGGCACTACGATTCACTTAAAAAACATGATCCTCACAAAGTCAAACCAATGAAAAAGTTTATTCTTTGTGTATTAATAATATTTATATGAATATCTCCTATCTCACAGATATGTGTCAGTGTGTGTGTTATGGGATTGTGGGTTTCTCCAATAGAATGTGGGGAAGAAGATCCCATAAACGCAGATTATAGTGGAAACACCACCCATGGAGCATCTAGATGCTTGACTTTTAGAACTTTCCATTAAAACAAGAAACGTTCAAAATCCATGTCTTTTTCAGCTTGTGAAGGATGATGCATAATGATCCCATTTTAACATACTTTTAAGATAATGTAGATTTCTCATGGCTTTGCTTTTAAGCGTAAACAGTTCTGATTGAATTTTGTTGCTTGTGAAGACACCCAAATTTCATGATTAGACTAGATTTTCGTTAGGATATCTGTGGTTAACAATAAAATATAGAGTGAATATGTCAACTAAACGAATTAATGGGGTTTTTAATCCTTTTTTTTTTCTTTAGTTTTTAATCCGTTTTTCCCTGGTTAATATTTGTCAACTGTTTTTTTTTATCATAGTGAAAGTTGATTTAATTTATAGTCAAATTCGGTTGTGAGTTGTACGTAGTATTGATTTATATATATGTTCAAGCTACGATGACGAAAGGATGACACTTTTCCGACATGGAATTACTCATTATGTTACTTAATTTTGAATTTGCTTAAAATCCTCTACATTACATCTCATACTTTATATATTTCAGACATTAGCATGGCTGCAATAACGTTAATAATCGAGATTTGTAATTCTCGTTAATTAGTTGTATATGACTTGTAGAATAAAGTCTTATACTATAACACAGCATGTATAGAAACGTCTAAATCTCTTAATCACTCAATATATTAACCAAAACCTGAACCGTTTTATATCGTATACAATTAAGATTTAGAATTAGAAGATCCTTTTCATATGTTTAGGTAGCCAACTGGCAAACAGAAACGGAAGTGTGTAATAATTGGTCGTTCTTATATATATATTCTAAAGTACTAATCTCATATGTATATAGATAGGGTCGGGGAGTCGGTCTTATATTATATTAAACAATCTAATTCCGAGCCAAAGGGAAAAAAAAACCATTTAATTTTGAAATTCTGAGAGTCGATAGTTAATGTCCATTTTTATAAGCACACGTATTGCTTAGGCATATAATATGTCACGTTTGTTTGGACTAGCTCGTATAGTTATACCGGAACTGGAAGTTATATAGCATTTCCTTTTTGGTTCTATTTATACTTCAATAATTAACCAACGATCACATAAAAATGTTTGAAAATTATACAAATCGATTAAAAAATAAACAAATAAACGACAAACATTCTATATATAAATAAAGGACATATTCTTTAGTTTATAAGAAAATAAAATTAAGTAACCTTTGCAGTATATGAGAGGTGATACTAATTCCATATTGAACTGTTAGAAATGACGACAAAAGGTGATAGAAATTCAATCAAGATTGGATGTCAGTTGATCTTTCATTTCTTTTTGGGGGGAATTTTACCACAAATGTTAAAGGAGAAAAGTAAGTCGACTGATTCTCTTCTTTTTTGTTTCTGATTATCAAGAAAAAATAAAAAATGATAGCCATATCATTTTTTTTTGTTCAAATGATAGCCATATCATTTCTATTTGATTTTTATATTGAAAGTGACAACTTATTTACAAATATTCTGATGACGCAAGCATGAGTCATTTACCCAATTATTTGTTTATCTGTTTCTATTAATTTAATGACTCCCGAAATTTTCTAAATGCGATCGCATACTTTCCAGTTTTGATACAGATGGACTCAGAGCCATACCCAAAATTTTATGACGACAAGGTTACGCATTGGCTATGTAATGCAAAAGTGGCACGTGTCACGTCCCTAAGTTATACGTTGCCGGTAAGATGTTTAGAGCTAATCTGGTAAATCTTATATCATTAGCTTTTAAACTAGTCTTCGAGGTTAATCCAATATTTTTAAAATGTCTAAATTTGGGGATTGTCTGAAAGTATCAAATCGGGTTCGCTAAACTAAAACTAATTTATTTTTAAAAATTAATCTAATTTGTCTTATTCATTGGCTTAAGATCTAGTACTTTTCACTCTTTTAACTAACTTATATAACTTATAAACTTTTTACTTTGTCTGCACTTTTGAATCCACTTTAAGTTTATTTAGACAGTAATCAAAAGTGAACGAATACAAAGATATTATTTTAAAAATCCACTTTTTCATCTTTCAGTTTTCTTGAAAAACCAAATTTGAAAATCTTTTAAACTGAGAAAAAAAAATCAAATATTAATTTCGTTTGTTTACAGTCACAAACTGCCCCAAAAAATTGATTAACCAAATTGGAAACTAGACTTAGACTCTTTCTCGAAAAAGAAAAGAAAAAAAAATTAGAGATAACCAAGATTTCGAGAGAAAAGTATGGATTTTATTAAAAAAAACTTTGTATATACACAAAAAGCTCATCAGAATCATAAGACGTCAAAGTATGGATCATAATGACGTCAGCATGACACAATGCGATCAGCGTTCTGATTCCAAATAATGCGGCGGTGTAAGCTTTTTGAAGCCCACTAGGGCCCACAAAACCTTTCAAATCCTCTGTTCCTCTGTCTCTCTATAAATATCCACACACTATCACATAACCAAAACACCACAACCCAAATTTATCTATCAATTAACGAGAACCAAAAACAAAGACGGACTTTTAGTTTAGTATATGAGAGCAAATTCAATTAGAGGGCTGTTTTCATTTGGGTTTATCAGAAACATCAAATCAATGTCTTCTTCTTCCCAAAACTTCGTGTCAAGATCTGTAATCAAGAAAGTCTTCGCCAAGCTTCAGAAAGAAGGCGATGGAGCCGTCGTTAGACGTGGCATTTCCAGGTTCGTTTAGTTTTTTTTTTTTTTTCTCCTTCCTCTTTCTCAGGAAAATTTAATGATTATCAAGTCTGAGAAAATCTTCTTTCTCCTTGTGGTATATGAATTTAGGAGCGAGCAGAAGTTGTTAGATCCTTTCTTGATGCTAGATGAATTCTCCGGTAAATTCTAGGAAGCATCCATTTTAAAATTATTTATTTTCATCCATTAATAAAATTGCTAATTCTTTAATTATGTTTTACTCTGTTTTCTTTTTCTTTCTTTGGAGCAGTTTCCTCTCCAGCTGGATTCCCAGATCATCCTCACAGAGGTCAAATCACCTATACATATATACATACATATTCAAATCAAATATTTAAATGAATTAGTAAACCTGTTTTCTGTAATGTCTCTCTAACATTTGGTGAAAAATGTTGATGAACAGGTTTTGAAACTGTTACATACGTACTAGAGGTAAGACAAACATTCTTTTTTTGCCGAAAAAAGAAACATATTTCCTGAATACTTAATAAATGTTTTAAAAAAAAACTTTATTCGAATTTCAATTTGTTGGTTTAGGGAGGAATCACTCACCAAGACTTCAAGGGCCACAAGGGTACAATCTATGCCGGTGATGTTCAGGTGGGAAAAATAAACATACTAAATAGAAAACAGAATTAACTGTTAAAGTTATTCGAAAAAATCCAACAATTTTAAATATCTAAAAAAAGCTTCTGGATTTTTCTACAGTGGATGACTGCAGGAAGAGGAATCATTCACTCTGAAATGCCTGAAGAAGAAGTAAACAAAGGTTTACAACTTTGGATCAATCTTTCCTCCAACGAGAAAATGTAAAGAAAACCAGCTTGCAAAATTCAGACTTTTTGGAGATTCCAAATTAAAAGGAGACTGATTCTTTAATTTCATCCCGACAGGATAGAGCCAAACTACCAAGAACTGTCGAATTCAGACATACCAAAAGCAGAAGAAAACGGTGTCCAAGTCAAAGTCATAGCAGGAGAATCCATGGGAATTCAATCCCCGGTTTACACAAGAACACCAACAATGTTCCTCGATTTCACTCTCGATCCAGGAGCTCAAATCCACCAGAACGTTCCTGAATCTTGGAACGCGTTTGCTTACGTTCTAGAAAGCGGTGAAGGCGGAGCCGTTTTCGGCTCATCAAACTCTTCCCCTGTTTCAGCACACAACGTTGTGGTGTTCGGACCAGGGAATGACGGTGTTAGCGTGTGGAACAAGTCACCTTCGAAGAAGTTGCGGTTTGTGTTGATAGCTGGAGAACCAATCGGTGAACCGGTGGTTCAATACGGTCCGTTCGTGATGAACACTCAAGCCGAGATTGATATGACCATTGAAGATTATCACTATGGTAGGAATGGCTTCGAAATGGCCAAGTATTGGAGGTCACAATGAGACAGACTAATGATAATCACTGTTTTATTATTTATTTTCGTATTTGTTGTATTTTCTGTGTGTTTCTAATGGGACAACAATAATAAAGTTAAAAGTAAACATGTTTTTTAATCTTTTGCTTAATTTGTGGGTGGGAACCCATTTAAATCGAGGCTGACTTTCTTTCAGTTCCAACCTAGTCATCATGATTAAGTTTTCTCCACAATTTAAGAAAATATTAACTGTTCATACTTATAAATATTGACTTATGAAGAAGGCACTTGGAATGTGAAATAGACATAGACAAAACAATTGTTAAATAACGAACGCGTATTAACTTCGGTGAAGTGACATAACCATGATTGTTACTTTAAACATCTTATATTAAATTTGATTGCGAGGTCCGGTTAATGCATTCTGAACATATTATGTAACTGTAAGAAAAAGTATACACATTTTCTAGTTATTTTACAACATTGATTGCTGTCATATACTTATAATTAAATAATGTTTGAAGCGGATGAGAAATAAAACTATTCCAAATAAATCATCTAAAATTACTATTCCAATACTTCTATTTCAATATCTATTATTTTGATTCACCATTTAACAATATGATTTAACTATGGAAAAAAACAAGGAGTGGATGCAATGAATATACTGACTAAATTGCTTCAACTGCCACATCTACTCGAAGTCAGTGACCAAAATTGAAAACTGAAAGAAATATTTTTATCGTTTTGTTTAGATACTGAATTTCCGGGCCACCAAGTTAAAGAGCAATTGGATAAAATCAAAATTGATTTAAGATTCGCAAGTTTACAAAAGTTACAAGTAGGAAGTAGATATAAGAACATTAACTTATACACTGACGCAACTTCTTATCCAATTTTGCTAACATATCTTCTGTATCTGTAACAAAGAAACTCAAAACCCCTTTCTCTCTTTTGCTTTAACTTCAGTTGAGAACAAAAAGAATGTCTTTGTCTTTCTATAAGTTAACCCCCAAAACCAACTTAACTCTCAGGACAAAGAGAAGCCAGGTACAGAGATGTTACCTCGAGCAGCAAGAAAACGTCTTTGTCCCTTCGTTGTCGTTCTTGACCAAACTAACCCGATTCACGGTTAGTTCCTCTTTGTAAGAATCAGAGTTCAGTTGCTTACGGCTAATGTTGCTATAGATCTCGCGAATAACCATCTCGAAAGCTGTCTTGACGTTGGTTGAGTCCAACGCGGATGTCTCCATGAAAAACAAACCTTCAGACTCTGCAAGGCTTTTGCCTTCCTCAACGCTCACTGCTCTTATGCTCTCGAGATCACATTTGTTTCCAATGAGCATTTTTGCTACTGTTGTATCAGAATGAGCTGCACCAAAGATTCATCATTTATAATCAAAACTAGCTCAGTGGAGTAGACATGTCAAAATCAGAATGCTGATAAGCATCAAAAGCATTCCGATTTCGGATCATGAATCAGCTAATCAATACAATTCTTCGTCAAAGTAACAATTTTTCCTTTTTAAGTTTCATGATTATATGATGGGTAAACCAAAGTAAGATACTTTTGACTTGATCTTGAATCAAAGTCTTCAGATCTAGAAATTTCTCACTACCAGCAATGATTCAAACCCCAAATTCACACGCATTGCTACTTAATTGATTCAAATCCGGTCCTAGCTCAAAATCGAAATCCAACAGATCTCAACTAAAAAAACTGAAAATTTCCATCGAATAGGAGATAGAAACAAAAAAGAGAAAAACTTGAAACATACTGTTGAGCTCATCGAGCCAGCGACCGACGTTCTCGAAGGTGGAGCTACGAGTGATGTCGTAGACGACGAGAGCTCCGACGGCGCCACGGTAATAGGCGGAAGTGACGGCGCGGAAGCGTTCCTGGCCGGCGGTATCCCAAATCTGAGCTTTGACCTCCTTCCCGTCGATGACCATGCTCTGAGTCTGAAACTCGACGCCGATCGTTGCTTTAGAATTCGGATTGAACTCGTTACGAGCGTAGCGTGTGAGGAGGTTGGATTTGCCGACGGCGGAATCTCCGATGATCACAATCTTGAAGAGGTACTCTTCGCCTCTCTCATCGTCCGACATGTCTCACCCTCGCTTCTTCTTCTACTTCTGCTCTGTAACGCTTTGTTGAGAGAGAGAGAGAGAGAGAGAGAGAGAGATTTATGGAGGTTTTGCCTTTATTAGCGTAATGAATGTCACTTTGCGCATGAAGTAGATTTTCATTATTTGATTTTCTATTATTACTATTATCTTATTATTAATAAATTTTACTACTAAAATCACGCTCCGACGAAATCGAACCTAAGCAAAAGTTTCGCTAAGACCAAACATTGAATCTATAATGAGTAATGTTTTGAGCTATACACACACACACACATCTCTTTCAAATCTCAAACATGTAGTGGGGTCGTTCTAAGCTAAATTAACTAACTTTTTTGGGGAAATTTTGATTGATCGAATTTAAGTTATTAGAAGTTGTCATTATGGTCAAGACTTTGAGAATTTGCCAAAAACCAGACTTCATAAAGTTATCACCATCACTTTCTTTGGACCTCTAAAATTACAAATAAAAAAAAATTAATTTGTTGTGTTTCTTTTTGTATTTGAATTGATTCCTTAGTCTCTTTTTGCTTCTATACTTTCTTGGATCTTGTTTGGAAACATAACATCTCATTCATCATCGCTTCTTGCATGCCGCCCCACAAGTACATCTCTCCATCCCTTTTTCCAGTGACTGCACATGACAAATAATCATCTAAAATAAACACTAAATCAAAAAACATGATTACATATGTATGAAATATCGTACAAACTCTATATATTTTGAGAAAAAAAGAAGAAACTCTATATCTTCTGAAATCTCATTTTCCATTTATTGCGTGGCTTTTATGGACTGTAAGTTTTTAATTGGATTAAGTTTATGGACTATAAGTTCAACTCGACTATTTCTTCATATACTACTAGAATAAAACCATAATATGTGAATTCATATGGGATCTCAGTATCTAAGGTTAATCTCAAACATGACACAGACCAATGCATTTGATACAGCGTATGATCATTGATCATAACCATCTATTTGTAGGTGTACGTAGAGCGATTATGTATGATACTTAATTTAGAAGAGTGTATTACTAACGTATGTTTGTAATGAAAGTGTTTTAGGGAAAAAATTAAGATAAATATGAGCAAATTTATGTTAGTAGGGTGAAAGTATATAAATGAACATACTTAAACCTTGTTAGGAGACCAACAACAACAACAAAAAAAAACCTTTTAAGAGATCATGAGAATATTTTTAAGTAACACATGACAAGTCAAAACCATGATCAAATAAATAGTTTCTATACGATCATCAGGATTTAGATCAAAACCTAAACTAACGAATTTTATAATTTATAGTTGTCATGGAAATTTCGAAAAACGTCCGAGTAAAGATCGAATCATGATTTTGATCAATGATATTGGACGTTAACCCACTCACTATATACCATTTTTATTTCTTTCTTTCGAATACCATGATTTGGTTTTAAAGTAACATTTTATCAACATATATAAGAATATAATGACCTATTTGAGAAAATATCACTTTGCATTTATAGATTCATATGTATAAGGACGCACCTCTACTTGGTGTTGAAGACCTTTTATATGCTCAACAGCCAAATCCAACATGTCTGCATAGCTTGTTTGCTGCCATAATTTTCAAACCTTAATAATATTTAGAATCTCCTCAATTACACCAAAATTACAACAAAATATATACAGTAATTAATATCCCTTACCTTGTCCATATTGGGTACCAGTTCTTGTAGCTTCTTTAACTTTCCGCTTATTCTCGTTCTTCTCTCCTATATATGTATATCATATATAAAACTTAAATAAACTCTTATTTTCTTGGTTTTCAATAAATCTATATTTTATGATCATGTATACTTATGCAACAATCAGTGTATCAAAGTAATTATAACATAAAAACTAACCCTTTCAGCGATGCTACGCGGGTGAGTCGCGCAACCGCGCTTGGCCCTGACCTTACAAGGCACTGAGTCCTCTGGGATATTCATCAAACTCTCCATTCTCGCCATTTCCAGTGACGTTTGCGGCATGCTGAACTGAATCATAACCATATCATGTCAAAAGAGACAATATAACCACTTAATTCTTTAAACCAAACATCAAGTGAAAAACTTTTACACCTAAACGTTTAACAAAGGACTTGTGAAAAATTTACATAACTTAACCATAAACTTTCTTCGAGCTATTTTTATATATATATATATATATATGTATCACACAAAACCATTCAACTTTGGCCTCTACAAGACATGAACTTGTGGCATATACATTCTTATTGGCTTTTGTTCCATCTTAATTGGAATCCTATTGCTTACTTGTGGAAATTAAATTTGATTTAGAAATTTCATATTATATGACACACACTATGATATCCTTTGTCAAATTACAACTGGTGTACCATATATAGATCAATTATGGACCTTTTCCAAGCTTAAACAAACTATAATGCAAAACAAAACACTCAAGTTTGGGCATATGCATGCAGTCTTCCTCCTTTTATCAAAAAAAATCGTCTAAACTAGTAACTTTATTGTATATAGAAGGCTGGATATTCACACAGCATAAATACATAGAGTAACCACAAAATTATAGAAAATACCTGAGTTTCTAAGGTGAAAAAGTCGGTGGTCTTGGACCGTTTGCCGGTTTCGTCAATGGTGAAACTGATATGAGCAGAGTTGTCCCAATTGTTATGATCATTTCCAAAATTCATACTCGTCGATGCGACACCGTTTATAGCCGCCGTAGCCGCTTCAACCTCCGAGATTCGCGGTAGAGAGTTATGTTCTTGATGACTACTACTACTCCCGCCGGAGAATCTCAGCTCGGACTTCAACCTCGACGGCCCTCGCTCTCCTCCTCCGCCGTATCCTCCGTTTGCCCGTCCTAGAGAAAAACCTGTTCCCTCTTCCATCAACAGATTTAGATCGATAGAGAAAGAAAGAGATGTAATGTAATGTAGGGTTATAACTTGTAATGATCTGATCTCCGTATTTTAATAAACCAGTATGATTTCTAAAATGTATATATATATACAAAATAGAAGAGAATGGGTCGTGTTCGAGACTCGAGGACCCCTTCCTTTGTCTCTTCTTAGATTTATTTATCGCCAATTTGGCAGAAAATAACGATTCTTGAAAAGAATCTTAGAAATATTCACTATTCGAATTCCTATTATTATGTATTGTATATACATGTAAATAATAATGCAAGAGGGGTAAATTTTATTGGGGTTCGCACATGGATTACAGTGGAAAATAAACCGGGCGGATGCAATGAGCCGAAGATCAAATTGCGCAAAAAAATAATATAAGTCATTACTTGCAACCAACAATGTAGTAAAAATTTATTATTTATATTGACAAGTAGGCGTATCCAAAATTCCGAACAGTGACAATGATGAAGCCATGTCAGCAGGGTAGGCCCTCATGGCTGCTTTCTCAGAAGGAAACGAGCAAGTGGGATGGATTTAATATTGCCAAGTGGACTATACTTTTATTTATTTTTGGAATGATTCGTTTTTTTAACAGATACTTTTGGCAAGTGCATGCTTTATATAATGAGAACTCTTATATAATACATGCTATTTGCATTAAATTGCATTATTAAAATATACAACTTGTCTCTCCTGGAAATACGTGTTTAAGTATTCATGCATGTATAACGTATATATACGTGTCTTCATTATTAGATATATATATATATATATATATATATATATCTAAACAAAAATCGACCATGATTTCTCCAAACAGAAAATTGAGGAGAAAGATGTTGATAAACTCTATACATAGATATTTTGTTAGCTGATGTGATTTAAATTTTCACTTACGTGGTCGATATTATATTCGTTATTTTATTAGAAAAACAAAGTCGTATATCGTATAATATATATTATATACAAGAAGGAACGGGAACGGATAAACAAACTAAAGTCATTGAAATTTAGATTCAAGATAACAAGATTACATGTTTTAGATTCCAGGAAGTCAAAATTACGTGCTAGACCAAATTACTTACCGACTCGTTTATCAATAAAATACATACTTCTAATTAGTTTATTCAATATAAAAACTCTTTTATCACTAATTTTTTTTAATAAAAATTGAGAACATTTAACTGAACGAAAGAATACTAGTTATAATTATTAAAGATATTCCATCAATGTGTATTGTGATTATTTTGGGGGTTTGAATGTGAATTGTAGTTTCAATATCACATACAAATGAAAAATTAATTAACGTTAGGAAGGGTGAAATTATTAGTCGAAACAAAATATGGGGAGGAAAATGTAAGAAACGCAAAAAGTTACCGTTGGGATCAGTGGGAAGATGTTGGTCATAGAAACCGGCAGGGGAGCTTCTGTGTCGGAACAAAGAAGGAGAAGCGCCGGAATCAGGACCGAAGGAAGATGGATCGCCGGGGAAGTAATGACCGCCGACGTTGGGATTGTGTTGCTGCCGTGCCGGAGGATTATGGAGGGTTTGAGAGTTGAGGGAGGAGAAATCACGGGTAGCTCCGGCGGCCGAGTCATATCGGTCGTTGTCGGCGTCGTTTGGAGGTGTGGACTTTGAGGAGGAAGAAGGAGGGTACATGATGATTTGCTTTTGCCGGAAAAGAAAAACCCTACAAAAATTAATCTAATGTTTTAAGGGGAAAATCTTGAGGAGAGTCTTTTTTAGAGAGAAAGAGGGAGAGAGAGAGAGATATTATGAGTAGTTATGAATTAATATAATAGTGCAACAGGGTTACTAAATATAGTTAGGGATTGTTAAATACTTAAATTAATGAATTGAACGAATTAGAGAGAAAGCTTGTGGCCTGTGCTCGGGGTGCTTTGTCTGCTTGACGCAGAGATCAGAGTCTCCTACTCACGGTCCGTCAACGCACGTGCATCTCACATGGTTGGACAGGTCGACCTTTGACGTTCTTTAATGTATATACATGGTTTTACTCATTTGATTTTTATAGACTAATATAATCTATAATATCAATTCTTATAGGTGGTGTAATATCTGCATCGCTCACTATTAGATAACTCATATTTCTAATTATTACCATCATTTACTTTTCTGATGCTTCAAATCTGATGCAATCTAACACTTTTTATGTATGATTTATAAGTTCAAAACCATTATTCTGTGTGCGCAATTGATTAATTTCACGCCAATATAATTTATGAAGATCATGAAAACGCTTAACGACAAACAAAATTGTGCTCTTAGAGTGTAGGTTGAGTTTCATCTATACGTGCTTATGGACTAGTCTTCTTCTTACATGGATTAATTGATACATCTAGGTTTTTTTTTTTATAGTTGGAATAAACATATAATATACTTACTAGTATGTGCGTATTGCTCCGCATTAGTCTCAAATTAATCATATGCTGGCGCAGTCAAAGTTAAAAAAAAATAAAACACATAAAGGGTTACTGATCATCATGAGACGAGAAAAAATTATGTTGACACTTTTTCTGTCATAACTTATTTTTACATCTACCTTTTCGACTCTTCCTTTTTCAGAATCAGAGTTCAAATTCTACGTGGAGTTATGGATCTATGGTGTGTATCTATGTATACATTAGTCGTCAAAATCATATATCTCGGGCACATAAGATTGAATAAACCTTTAGAGCCTTATAGTCAGTTTCAATTTCATAAGAAGGAAGCAAATTTCAAATTCAATGAAATATATGTAAAGTAATGTAGAATATGATAATATGAACGTTATTCTGATATACACTCGATTTAGAGTCAACGTACTTTTATGCAATTCTTTATAGACATGAGTCTCGTCCTTCATCTGTCATTGTTTGTGATGCTTAATAAATTAGACCGAGATGCTGCTTTATCTCCACAGATTCCAACTCACAACATGGTTCGGAATCACTCAGCCAACTCAAACTTCTTTTTTGGGTGATTAATCCATTTCCAGATAATATTTTCTTTTACTTCATTTGCAAATAATCAAAGCCTACAAATTTGGGGAGTTAGATTAATATGCATTGGTTTAATTATCGTCAAGTGGGTTGTTATGATTCTATTTATGTATTAATAAGGAAAACAACTTGCTTTTATTATGGTTTACAGATAGTCGGATATTTATTTTTTTGGGTTCATGTTTCGTTCATGTTTTCGACCATTAATATGATCCAAGACAAAGGCAGACCATGACAAAAGTCAAAAACATCCATGTTACATTTATACGATTATTTAAATTTATATTAAAACAACACACGTACTTTTTATTAATCTATCCATAGATTAGGAAGTAGGATAGACAGCCCATTGTATTTAGTTTAAAAACAATTGGTTTGGATTCCAGATTTATGTTTACTATGGGCAAGATTCGTTTTGTATAGTCTTACACACACAAAAAAAAAATGCCAGATTTCCTATACTCGGTTTCTTCTGATCGAATTTAAATTTAGTTGAATGTAGTTGCACACAAAATGAGTATTAATTTTTCAATCAAAATCTGATATTTATTAGAAAAATTATATCTATAAAAATAAATTATAACTAAACACAACAAAACACAAAATTTGTTAAACAATTTTTTTTTAATAAGTTTATGTCTAAATAAATAAGTGTTTTATTTCTGAAAATTATGTTCATATAATAAAATTATATTATAAAAAAAAAATTAATACATGAAATCTATAAAACAAAGTACCCCGCACGGATGTGATGTTTGTTGTGAACAGGCTGGTATCAGTGTTGCAGCTCGCCCATATGATTTGCTTGGTGTGACCTCAGCTTTTGAGGCATCTGATATCTTAGATCTTCAACCCGTAATCAAACATTATGTCCCTGTATCTTTTGTGGCCGTAGATTTCTTTGACAAGGCCAAAGATCTCTTTGAGAAGGGGGATGTAGCTTTCGATCTTTCCATAAATAGCTATAACCTAGCTATATCTGTGGTTACACTGCTAACTAAAACTCTATGACTAAACCGTTTGTAGTGCAAAGCCGGTGAAGCCAAACTGATGTTATCAAAAGCTATATCAACACTGCAATATATAAGTCCAATTCACCAGAAAGTTCCAAATGGCTACACGTAAGGCTTCTTCTTCATCATCTTGCCGACTTTTGTCTTTATTTTTCTGCTTGATTTAGGCGCTTTTACGTACCTCCGTTTTTATTTATTTAATGTCTTGCTCCCTCTTTTCAGGGACCTTGCCCTTATTTTGACAGGAGAAAACAATTTTGGTGAAGCCATATAAAAGAGTAACACAAGGCTCTAGTCATACTAGAGCGATGCCTTGGTTTTGATCATCCTCTACCGCTCTCGGGTATCAACTGCTTTCCTCTTATTCCATAAAACACATTATAATTTGAGTTGAAACCTGATGTATGTTAATTCAGCATTTTGACTTGCTTTAAATATTATCTCAACTCCAGCTATACCACGTTGGGTAATTTATACCGTGAAGATGGTCAGACACAGTTGTATCAACATTACAATCGTTATGCCATGATACTACTTGGCGTTTCATATGGCATTGATATAATATTGATAAAATGGGAAACAATGTGGAAGCTGTGCATTGTACCAATTGGACTTTGGATCTCACCAGGGAACCTTTTGGGCCTGAATACGAAAGACAGCCAATAGGTGAAGATAAACTACCTTCATATCGCCTATTTGCTATTACTTGGATCCTTAAGAAGGTCGCCATCTTTCGTTAGAATTGAGATCTATTTTATTGGGTCTACATGCCCTTTTTTCTAGCTTTCTTTTTTTTTTTTTTAACATTATAATATATAATAACCAAGAAAGAAGAAGGATCATTCTTTATCAAGGGCAGCCATAACCGATGTCAAAAAAAAAGGGGAAGCCATAAACTAAGCCTCGATCCACTAGAAGAGCATTTCTTCGACATTGCCATTCAGCTGTGTTCAATGTCGGTCTTCATCATGGTTCTTCTGATCAACCTAATTTCGATAATAGCTTCGATCACTTTGATTTTTTGCAAGCTAATTACTATAATAGCTTCTGTTGACCTCAGTAGATTTTAAATTTTGATTCTAATGGGTTGATAGGTCAAATTATTACCGAATCAATCCAACAATTGAAAATTTTCAATAAACTTGTCTTCCTCATATACATTAAGTTGGTTAATCCGTTGAAAAAAAAAAATAGTTGGTTAACCTAATTATATTTGTTTATTTTCTTAATTTATATTCGCATTGTAATTTTTTTTACCTATACAAATTACATTGTGTGTATGCATCAATAATTAAGAGATGTTACTGGTTATTTGATCCAGTCACTTTCAACTTCGTGACAAGTATATAATACTAAGTATGAAATTCCAAATGTTGATGTGCGCTCAGCGGTTTTCTTAAGTATACAATTATTGAAAAAGTCTGTGATGAACAATTATTTAATATATATCATTTTTGTTAACTGATGATCACTACGAAATTGAATATGCTTCAATTAAAAACTTGTATAGTATATATAATGAAACTGAAAATTCAATGACTAGGGTGATATATTTCGAGCACTTTCATCATGTTTACCGAAAATAAGCGATTATTGCGATGGTCAAATTGGCTTGTTTCATATTAGTTCCGTTTTTGATTTTAGTGTTTCGGTGTGGTCTTTTTTTGACCACCTTTTTAAGCGAGCACCTTTTTTTTTTCAATCGAGCACTTTTTTAGGGTTCTAGACATTGAAAAATTGCAAGCACGTTGTTTTTAAAAATATATGAACCAGTAAGTCATATATATAGTAAACACACAAAAGAGTAAGTCATATATACAGATCTTCAGATTTATTAATCTTTCGGTTTTTGGTCTACCACAAATTTTTTTTACCAAACATCAGTTTTCACCAGATATATCTATTTAGCTATTATAAAATTCAAAAAAATATTTCTAAAGTTCTTTATATGAGAAAAAGTTTGAATGAATAATATAGCAGGTAAAGAAAAAAAATTAAGATATTGTTAAATTTCTAATATATATATTTTAGACTATTCACATAAAGTAAAAAATATTCACTATATTGTTCTTACAGAACAGTATAATATAAGAGCTACAAGCATTAATATTATAAAGAATCGTATGTTAATGAAATTTACCAAAGATTTTAAGTCATTAATTAAGAAGAAAGCTTGTATAGCATTGTACTATAAGTCTAGAACCCTATAAAGATCAACTTTAGCTCTAGAAAGGAAGACTCTAAGCTCTTTTTCACGCCCTTTCGTGCATAGCCACCACGAGGACATATTGTTACTCTTATGTCACTAATAAATTCTTTAACTGGTTCATCAAATTTCAACTAAAATATGTACTATATTATTCTCTTGATTTCTAGATTTTGCTTCCAGCAACTGATTGGAAATTATTAGGGAAATTATTATCACTGCGATATGTGGTTGATGTAGTCGTTTTTGTCGTACGTATGATTAGTGCGATTGAAGTTGTATAGTCAAAACTCAAAATACTCAATGAAAGAATTTACATAATCTTACTAAAATTTAGAAGTTAGAAGTAAGAACATTGCAAATAATTTTAGACACATTATACCAGTATTCAAGAAAGCGCTAGACGTTAGGCGGACGGTGATACAACGCCTAGTGCCTAGAACGCCTAGTCGGAGTTTAGACGATTTTTAGGTGTTTTAAGCGTTTACAAATAAATAAATTTATTATATATTTTA